AAAAGGAACAAGACAGGGATGTCCGTTGTCCCCACTTTTATTTATTTTAACACTAGAAGTCTTGCTAAATACAATACGGGATTCTAATATCTTGAAAGGTATAATGATTAGGCAAGAGGATTACAGAATAAAGGCATTTGCAGACGATCTGGTTGTTACCCTATCACAACCAATGGAATCAATAATCCTGATGAAGGACATTATACAAGACTATGGTAAAGTTTCAGGTTTTAGATTGAATCCAAAAAAGACTAAAATGATAGCTAAAAACATGACACAAGATCGCAAACATGAGCTTGAAAGGAGGGCAGGTTTTGAGACTGTACCTAAGGTAAAATATCTAGGAGTTCAGGTTGCAGAATCAAACATGAAATTGTTTCAAAATAACTATGAGGTGTTGTGGCGAGAGGTGCAGAAAGATATGGAGACTTGGAAAAAACTGCAGCTGTCTCTACTTGGAAGAATAGCAGCAGTTAAGATGAACATTTTGCCAAGATTTCTTTTTTTGTTTCAAATGATTCCGGTGCTCAAAAGTGATAAACAATTGAAAGTCTGGCAAACTGGAGTGAATAAGTTTGTCTGGAACGAGAAAAAGCCGAGAGTGAAATTGAAAATTATGCAAGATGTTCCAGAAAGAAGAGGTCTTAAACTTCCAAACCTACAGTTATATTATGATGCAGCAGCTTTAACTTTAACAAGTGATTGGTTTGGAAGGAAAAAGACTGGAATATTGAATGCAGAAAGTTTTGATCTTGAATTTGGATGGCATGCTTACTTAAAGTATTTAAAAGTCATATACTTAGAGACTCTTTGATGAGAGTTTGGAAGAAGCACCGATTCAAATGGGATTATAAAATACCGCTATGGCTGGATCTTGGTCATATTTTGTGGAATACAAATATAATGTCACTCGGGGGGTTTTTATACAAAGAGGTTCTTTTTACAGATGCGGGCAGATGGCAGCTGAAGACATTGCAGACACTGTTGGATGAAGGGATTAATTTAACTTGGTTACAATATAATCAATTACAATTGAGATGGAAAGAGGACCAAAAAACTGGTATTATGTTGCATGAGGAAGAATTGGTTAGACATATAAAAGAGAAAGGTCCAATGCATATCAAAAGGCTTTATAATGTTTTGTTAGAAAGGGATTCAGAAACTGAATTAGTTAAAGATTGTATGATTAAGTGGGCACAAAATTTTGAAGAACCAGTGATGTTGGAAACATGGGAAAAAATTTGGGTTCAGAATGTTAAATTTACACAGTCGCAGAACCTGAGGGAAAATTTCTATAAAATGTTTTATAGATGGCATTTAGATCCCAAAAAGTTGTCATGTATGTACCCTAATGTTCAGCCAAAATGTTGGAGATGTGAATGTTTGGATGCTACGTATTATGTTTGGTGGACCTGTAGGAAAGTTAAGGCTTTTTGGATAAAAATTTGGTGGGTCATGCAGAATGTTTTGAAGAAAAAAATTCAATTCTCTCCACAATTGTTTTTATTGGGTATAGTTAAGGGTTTTACATCGGGTGAAACAAAACTGATATTGTATATGATAACAGCAGCAAGATTGTTGATAGGTAAATATTGGAAAAATGAAGCTTTGCCCACTATTGAGGAATGGACTTTGAAGATGGCCAGTTTTGCAGAGATGGCGAAGATTTCAGATATTTAAAAGATTGTTCACAAGAGACTTATGAATGGGAATGGAAAAGGTGGATAGAATATGTTCAGAACAAATATCAAACTAGAAAGTATCAAATAGCTTTTATTTGAAAATAATGTATTAGAAATATTTTAATGGAACGAGGGTAAAAAGAAAAATTATAAAGGGGAGGGAGGGGTTCAAGTTTTTACACAAGTTTTATATTAAGGGGGTTTTTTTTCTCTTTTTTTTTCTCTTTCTTTACCAGATATGAGTATAATATAGGGAAGTCTGGGGGGAGGGGAGGGTTAGGGAGGGTTAGGGAGGTTGGGAAGTTTGGGGTGGGTGGGGGGGGAAAAAGGGGTGAAAATGTAATTGTAAAACTTTTGCAATAAAAAAAAACTATATGTGAAAATGGTTTTGGCTTAGAAACAACTGCATATCTGCAGAAAACCTTCTGATTTTTCTTTTTAACAATATATTTCAAGTAAAATGTTTTAGAGATAAATAACAAACCCTAGTGAACAAACAATTGAACAAAATGTTTCTATTGTTCTTGTAAAAGAATATTTTACAGAAAAGCCCTTTCTAACTCACCATATCTAGCCCAAAGCATAGGATGAACATTGGAGCACTCTCTGATCAAGATGGGGAAGTTTGGGTTTGCCTTCTTCAATGTGACATAGTGCTGTTCAATGAAATCTCTGCAAAGAATTCAACAAATAGAATAGAATACAATCAGTTCAAGTATTTTATTCCATTCAATTACCAAAATTCCAAAAAGATGTGTATTGATTCTATCTGACTCAGTTTTGATTCACTTTTAAGGTTCAATATTTTAATACTTTAAAGTTTTATATTGCTGTTTTTATGATATTGTAAGCTGCCCAGAGTCTCTCCATAGTGAGATGCTTAATAAATAAATTTAACAAATAAATATTAATCACAGAATATGCTACACTTTACTTCAAAGTAATGTTTCAAAATTTACATATATTTATTTGATTTACAGCTCACCTTCTGTACAGGAACACACCCTTCTATCTTTCCCCACAACAGAACTCTTGAGATAGGTTGTACTGAGAGAGAGCACAACAACTGATCCAAAGTCAGTTTACTTTGTACCTGAACACTACACACATACAGAAGCCAAATCATATTTTTGTCTAGCACAGTGTGTGAATCCAGCTCATATATTTTAATTCACTGTATCATGCAAACGGATATTAGAATAGCTGGAAAAAAAAACATGGTTTTTCTGTAATGGGTGGAGGAACATTAGATCACTCTGAAATTCTTCAGACTTAGAAATATGTTTAGGAAACACCCCCCTCCCAGTAAAAAAGAAGGCTGACTGTCCTTAACATGATTCACCCTTAAATCCATCTTTTAAAAATCTTTCTTTTATTGTCTGTAAGGAAATCAAGATTTTTTTAAAATCTCTTCTGCCTTGAAACATAAGTAAGGATTAGGATTACCCCCCCCCACCCCGGGCTACCTCCTACAAGGCTTAATAGCAGCCCAGGTGGCACCTCGCGATTTTCTCCCTGCCAGTCTATCCACTCAGGAACTCCTAAGGAAGCAGCCACGCCAGGACCCACTTCTCAAAGGAACTTTTGTTTCCTTGATACCTTGTATACCAGGTATCTCCAGTGCTTCTAGTCATTTACTCTGGGACGGCTACTTCGTGCAGCCAAACAGACTGAAGCGTACTAAAAGTCTATAATGCACACAACGCCAAGCTCGGCAATACTACCGGTGTTCACCATATCGGTGATGCGCAAAGCCAAGCAGCGAAGGGATAAGCGGGACAGCTTCCATGCCCCCCTCCACAAAGGGGTCGGATAAGATCCCTGCTCGCCTCTCACCTACCGGACTCCCTGACTAGCCGCCGAGTGCTGGCAAAGGTGGATCCGAATTTCCTTGAGATTCTGGGCAAGGCTGCCCCCAACAGCTCGGACGATTGCGGCGGCCGCCATGGTGACCGCCAGCCCTAAAGGTCCCGCGGGCAGTGGGCGTTGCTGTAGCCAATCCGGTGCTAAGCAGAAGACCGACGCTTAAAGACGCGGTCAGGATAAGAAGCGCGCGAGATATTATGGGTAATGAACGCATAGTTCTTTGCTGCCGCTTATAAACCTATAACAGTTTGAAGAGATACAAAACTCATATCTTTTTCTTAATTTAAAGCTGTATCTGGCTGCCCAAGTTCTGGAACTGAAAACTGAAAACTAGAATCATAGGACTGAAAGGGACCTTGGAGGTCTTCATCCCTGGAGGTTTGTAAGAAAAGACTGGACAGCCGCCTATCTGAAATGATGTAGGGTCTCCTGCTTGAGCAAGGGTAGGAGACCTCCAAGATCCCTTCCAGATCTCAGCTCTATTCCGATTGATTGTTCTTCTAGCCGAAATTCCTGCCCAAGGTAGGAAACCCTATTGCAAACCGAACAGATGGCTGACCAATCTTTTGTTGAAGACTGGAGCACCCACAACCCCAGGACGCAAACCATTACACTGATTAATTGGTCTCACTGTCAGGAAATTTCTCCTTAGTTCCAGTTTGGATTTCTCTCTTACTAGCTTCCACCGATTGCTTCTTGTTCTGCTCTGGAGGTCTTTGGTGCTTTGGAAAATAAGTTGAACCTCTCTTCTCTGTGACAGCTCCTCAAATACTTGAAGACAGCTCTCATGTCGCCTCTACTGCTTCCCTTCGTTAGACTAGATATAGCTCAATCGTTCCTCGTTCGGTTTAGCCTTCAGACCCCTTAGCATCTTTGTTGCTCTTCTCTGCACTTTCTACGATACTGGGATCTAGCGTTTTTTACTACGCATAGAAATCAGCGAAAAATTAGAAGAGCAGCGATGGAACGGCTGATTTATGTAGAAAGAAATGCGGCTGCAAAGCGAGATTAACATTTTTGTAAGCAACCAAACAGGGCTTAATAGGCCCAGGTCATCCAAAATCCGAAAGATCGATTAGATTGTATCTTTGCAGTCTATATCGCAAAGTCCTCTATAAACGTTATATATTGTTTTAAAAAGTGATGCATTTAAGTTTATAAACATTTAGGCAGAGAACCCGCAAAGCCGTTGAAATCAACTTACAAAATAGCCAAGTTCATTTAAAGTTCCCTCAACCTGCAAAAAGTGATGTTTTTCAGTGTTAAAATAAGACTTGATGAAAATGGGTGTTTTTGCTGCAATCTGTTGAATAGACATGCTGAAGTCTTAGATTTGCCTGTTATTTTTAATGAGAGATCATTGAAAGAAAGGCTAAACTTGATTCTGAAACTGAACCCGGAAATAGTCTATCTCGATGAGACTATGGATGAACTATAACATATCTCTAAGCTCCCGGAGAGTTTCCGCGCAGTGCACTGCGGGTTAAAGGTGCCTTCCCTGCGCGGTGCCTTGTGGGAAAGAGGCAGAGATCCGTGGAGCTTGTTCGTCACCTCAGTTGGAGCCGTTTATATCTCAAGAGAAGCGACAATGCCGGAGCGAGACAGTGAGTGTCACCTTAAAGCCTGCGGGGGGGGGGGGGGGGGGGGGGTGAGAGGGAGTCGGCGAACTGGCCTCGGACTTTTTGTTGCTGGCCTCCCTTTTCAAATAAAGGGCCAGCGAATATATTCTGAGGGATCTATGGCAGCCTGCTGTCCCTTCTCTGTTTTATTCTTGAGTGGCCGATGGGCTCAATCCATACAAAGGGGGCTGGGAGGGGGTCTTGTCTCCCATGTGATGGGTACAACAAAGCAATCCCTAATGAACGAGGGACCCTCTCTCTGAAAAGAATGGACGGCCATACAGTAGGGGGCTTTTCGATTCTAATTACTGCTTTGAGGGGGGGAGCTTTATAGAGTCAGATGGGGAAAAGACCATTGTGTGAAACCCAGCAGGAAGGTACAGCGATAACAGAGACTATTTTTTTCCTTATCTTAATTTTTCAAAATTTAAACCTTCACAAATATAAAGTCCTCTTCTCACTTGAATTTTTCATCAAAACACCTTGGTCTTTTTATTTTGTACATAATAATATATTATCTGTAGGAATAATAATATTTGTGTCTTAAAATTTCTACCAGAAATTGATGATTTGTGATTTGTTTGCTAAATTCTTGCAAAACATGCCACACTTTTTCCTAAATTGTATATTCTCTACTTTGCTCTGTATGGTACTACATTGGATATAAAAAAGGCGAATTTTCAGTCGGGAAACCTGAGGAAAAAATGAAGAGAAAAGCAAGGGTTACTTACACGAAGTACTACCTGTTCAATTACAATTTCAGAATTGAATATGATCACTATCATCAGTTTCTATTTCTTATTGGAATTCATTTTTATGGACTGGTGAAAACCAAAGTTTTGTTTGTATGGGAATTATTTTTCACCCTTTTATATTTTACTTTACCTCTTGATTTTTCTAAACATGGCCAGATTCTTAAGCACTTATGTATTATAATGCTTCTGTGGGATTTATACACATGACTTTTGGGGAATCTCTCGTTTCTTCTGTCTTCAAGGAATCCCGAAGCAATTCCAAATAACTATAGGTATTGCAAACAATCATATTACTTTCTGCTATTCCCTTGATTTTACTTGCATAGAAAATCTTTGGTTGCAATTTCTTAAGGAAAAATTTCTGGTAGAAATTTTAAGACACAATCTTAATATTCCTACAGATAATATATTATTATTTATTTAATAATATAATTTATTATGTACAAAATAAAAAGACCAAGGTGTTGTGACGAAAAATTCAAGTGAGAAGAGGACTTTATATTTGTGAAGGTTTAAATTTGGAAAAATTAAGATAAAGAAAAAAATAGTTTGTTATCGCTGTACCTTCCTGCTGGGTTTCACACAATGGTCTGTAGACTGCAAGAAAGCTAATACTGTTCTGGGCAAGTACTTTCTTGAATCTCTTAATTTTTCCACACTGTTAAATTTTGGAACTGGCTGAAAATCAGTTGCATATAAGGTATTTCTTAATATTATTTCTCTGCAGATATTTTCTGTATGAAAAATGTCACAATAGATTATTCGACTGAAATGTATACTTATCTTTCAGATATGTTATGTTGACATAATTCTCTTTCTAGGTGAGCCATTCTCTAACCCTTTAGCCCCAGATGGCCATGATGTGGATGATTCTCATTCTTTTCATCAGTGAGTAGAGCTTTTAATTGTATTTTAAGATACAGCTTTCAGTATTACAGACCAATTTTTTTCCCATATACATTGCTAAGGGAATCGAGCACATTTTCCTCCAACAGTAGGGTTTCCGTATCCTATACATAGAACTTTGAAGATTGCTAATTGTTCTCACACTTGTGTGGAATGCAAAATGTTAGCAGTACCACTTAATATGTATAGGATCGGAATCCCTGCTTCTATCTCCAATTTATACGGAGGAAAAGCAAGCCTTGTCATAGGAGGGATCTTTGTCAGTGCTGATTGGAATACATTGGCAAGCAAAAACTTGGGCATATTAGCTAATGAGATTACAAAGGGCCAAAATAGTGTTTAATGTTGTAAGCTGCCTAGAATTGCCTTGCAACAAGATGGCAAACAAATTTAATAAATAAATAAATGATAGATAGATAGATAGATAGATAGATAGATAGATAGATAGATAGATAGAGGCATTTTATCCAGTGTACTTTTGATAATGAAATAAAATACCATCTGACCAAGCAAACAATAAGGGTCCAGTAATGTATTGTGCTTTGGACCTGTAACATTTTGATTTTTTCTAGATCTCTCTGTTTTTTCTGACCAATTTTCATGCTATAATCAGTGAGCAAATCAAGAGACATCACAAAGTAATTTTCTTACTAGCAGGGATTGTGGCAAATCTATATACAGTGTATGGGTATAGTAAGTGAATATTGTATAGGGGCATTTAGTTTTTCTTTCTTAATAAATTATGTACTATGAGTTGCACATTTTTGCAGTATTTCAAATGCTTTAATTTCTCTAACCTTTTCAGAGTCATTTGGAGTCAGGTGGCATACAAATTTAATGAATAATTATAGTCAGTAGTTACTTATTCTGTTTTTATGCACTTTTATAAGCAATTGTTTTTGTGATAGGTCTAAATTGACCAATGAAGACTTTCGTAAGCTTCTTATGACTCCACGGGCAGCACCAACATCTGCACCACCTTCAAAATCTCGCCATCATGAGTAAGCATGCAATTTTTGTACTTTTTATCAAATTTACCAAATACATTTTAGCTGATGCATAACTATCTTATACTAGTTCTAATTTAATCTCGTTATCTATAAAAAAAATACATGCATAACTAATATATCAAAATAATTGAAATACACACACAATAAATGCTAAAATCAAGACTAGACTACTTGAATAAATAAAATTTGCAAAAAAAAGTAATGTTTTTCAGAGAATGTCATGTACATTTTATCCATGTAGGAATCCTGAAAAGTAAGATTTATTAGTTTTTATAAACTGGCTACATGATGATGTTATTATTTTGAAAGCATTTTTCCTGAAGGCATTTATGGTTTCCTCTGAGGTGAATAAAGAGTAAACCTTCATTATTGCTAATATTATTTTGGAATTAGAATTTACATTTTATTGCAGTTTAATCATAGAATATTATGAATATTTTTATTCTTGTTCTTTTTAGAATGCCCAGAGAGTACAATGAAGATGAAGATCCAGCTGCCCGGAGGAGAAAGAAAAAAAGGTAATAGAGACTGGTTCCTGAAGTTTCCAAAAGAGCTGATGCATTTTTGAACTGGAGGAAGAACATATTGCTGGATAAATGGAGCTAATAATTTTGCTTCTCTTTTAGTACTTAATATAAGCATGAATCAGACAATATATATGTTATTTCTCTGTATGACTAATGTAGGTCTAGGTTAACAATGAAACGAAAGTGGCAATCAGCATTACTGGTGTTTAAAAAGTATTCTTAGAATACCATGTTTTGTTTGCTTAATTTATTTTGGCCTTTTTTCTTTTTTAAAATGTCAGCTATTATGCAAAACTACGCCAGCAAGAGATTGAGCGAGAGAGGGAATTGGCTGAGAAATACAGAGACCGTGCCAAGGAAAGACGCGATGGTGTCAACAAAGATTATGAAGAAACAGAACTAATCAGTACAACTGCCAATTACAGGGCAGTAGGACCCACTGCAGAGGCGTGAGTACAGTCACAGTTATTGCCATTCTGGCTGGAAATACAATATAGTGCTTACCTTAAACCATTTATTTTTATTGTACTAGGGATAAATCAGCAGCAGAAAAGAGGCGGCAATTGATTCAGGAGTCCAAATTCTTGGGTGGTGACATGGAACACACTCACTTGGTGAAGGGACTTGATTTTGCTTTGTTGCAAAAGGTGAGCCAGAAAATGCAACAGTGCATAACAATTCACATCTTAAGGAAGTTCTTGCCCTTATTTGTGCTGCTGCTCTACCTAAAAATATTCCATATATCTAAGGGGTTGGGGTTTTTTTGTGTAATTTTTCCTATCTTTTTCTCAATTATATAATTGCAGAAATTGGTTGAAATAAAGAAGAATTTGTTCAGGGTTATTTTTCAGTGGTTGCTACTAAAGTATATTATATCAATTACATATTTTGCATAGAATACATATATTTCATGTATGAAATATCTGCATTAAACATCTAAATAACCTTTTTTCCATTTGCCACTACTTACTTCTCCCTCTCTCCTTAACCTTCCTTGCCTCAGCAATCCTGAGAGCATGGAAGATTGCTTTTTCTTGGTTGCTAATAACAGTAAGTAAATAGTACTTTTGAACAAGGCTATTATGCAGGGAGATATTTTAAATTTCCTGATAAGTTATGAAGTTTTTTTTCCTGCTGCTCATAACAGTGGAAAAACAATGGTGGCTGACCAGCTGGGTGGTAGTGGAAAATGGTAGATTCAGATCTGCAGACAGTGGTGAAGACCTGTTGGGAGCCAGAAGTCTGTTCCTATTTAATCTTTTCGGAATCTATATTAATAAAATAATACAATTTTAAAGGAAATGTATTTCTATTCAGGTACGGGCAGAGATTGCCAGCAAAGAAAAAGAGGAAGAAGAACTAATGGAAAAGCCCCAAAAAGAAACTAAGTAAGTAGGGATAAGAGAGTTCTGACCTATGAGATTTTAGGCTGAAAGAATAGTAGTCCAGCTACTCACATGTATTTCATTGCTTCTTTTCTAGGAAGGATGAAGATCCAGAAAATAAAATTGAATTCAAGACTCGCTTGGGTAAGGTTGTTCAAACATTTTATTTATTAGATATACATTCTATTTTTTTCTCCAGATGCTTGTGGTAACATATATAATGCCTTCCTTCCATTTTTTTTTCTGTCCAACAACAAGAAGACCTGTGATGTAGGTCTGGCTGAGAGAGACTCATCCAGAGTCACCCAATGAACTTCTGTGTTTGAGAGTGAACTTGGATCATCTTGATCTTAGTCCAACTTATATATTTTTTACCTAGAATTAGATGTTATGAACATGTACTGTGAGCAAGTTTATTCTGTTTCTATGAGTTCTTAAATAACCTGAGGGTGAAAATATTTTTTTTTTCTAGGCTTGGGTTTATGTGCTTTGAAGAATGGCTTATTGGAGCAATGGCTGCAGTGTCTTGGTTTTAGTTCTGACAATATCATAAAAACATACTGTGGCTTGTTTAGCTTAATGTATTGTGTAAATATTCATGAATCCTCTTTTTTGCTAGGCCGTAACATCTATCGGATGCTATTCAGGAACAAGGCATATGAGCGGAATGAGCTCTTCCTGCCAGGGCGAATGGCTTATGTGGTGGATCTTGATGATGAGTATGCTGACACAGATATTCCCACAACTTTGATTAGAAGTAAGGCTGATTGTCCAACCATGGAGGTAATTGACCTTATTGCTGTGGTAATGCTTTATGAGCATTATATGTCGTATATGAGTTATCAGAGTAGTGATTCCTGTGATTTATCCTTCTAGGCCCAAACCACATTGACTACAAATGATATTGTAATTAGTAAACTGACTCAGATTCTTTCCTATCTGAGGCAAGGCACTCGTAATAAAAAGCTCAAGAAAAAGGATAAAGGTAAGCATATGTGTTTAGAATTCAGACTTGCATATCTCATTTTACATGATGAACATTAAAAATTAACATTCTGTTAACATTTGATTGTCAGAATGGTAACGGAGTACAAAACTTAGATTTTACATTGCCCTATATGTTGATGTTTCACATTAGGGTGGAAAATTTGTTTAAGATGGGGATTATTTCTTTTTCAATCTGAGGAATAGACACTTGCATGATCAAAGGGTGAAAAGATTAAAATAAATTGGGTATCATATCATATAAAAATGCACCATTGATGAAATGCTACAAGACATTTGCAAAAACATATTTTTATCACCTAAAAGAAATAATGTACCATAGGTACAGAAGTAAGTGTAGTCTGATTGCTCTGTATTTGTAGGGAAACTGGATGAGAAGAAACCCCCAGAGGCAGACATGAAGTAAGTATAAGTACATAAAGTGCTTATCCTTTGGGGTTGGATCCTTCTCATTGTATTTGGAACTATTTTCAGGAAGCTGCTGCATTCTTGCATGGTCCTCAGTTTGGAAGGAAGAGACAATGTCTCCTGCATGAGCAGGGGGGTTGGACTAGATGACCTCCAAGATCCCTTCCAACTCTGTTACTGTTACTTCGAAAGGCTGCTTAAAGTGAACTAATTTGGCTTCCCCTTCAGGGTTCAGGAGCTGAATTGTTTAAAAAAGAAGATATTACCACCTTGGAAGCAAAAATGTTTAATAGAAAGGAATAATTTATGATCAGTGATTCTTATGCCATTTTCTGAGACTTATGTGTATTTGATTTATCTTTTGCCTTTTTAATATGTGCTTGTCTGATGAAAAGTATTTTTGAAGATATTGGTGATTATGTACCGTCGGCGGCAAAAGTGCCACGAGAAAAGGAACGAGAGAGATACAGGGAACGGGACCGAGAACGGGAGAGAGAGAGAGACAGGGAACATGAGCGAGATCGTGAACGGGAGAGAGAAAGGGAACGTGAAGAGGAGAAGAAGAGGCACAGCTACTTTGAGAAACCTAAAGCTGATGATGAGGTAAGCACACATCTATATCTGTCTGTCTGTCTATCTATCATCTATCTATCGCATAAAAGTGAGACTTTGTCAGGCCCAAAATTCAGTTAAGTTTAATTCTTTACTTGCTTACACCGAATGGACAGGATCTTGCCAAACTAAAACTGTAACATTCTAACCTACTAGATGAATCCTAAGAGATTCTAGAGTGTGGTTACCCTGAGCCTCTTTCTCCCCCCTCCCTCCAATGTGGGATTGTCTAGGCCTCTATCTGGGAAAGTGCTTATTGCCAAAACTCTCCCCCACTGCTCCTGCAGGTGACATTCCATCACAGATATTGTGTTTTCTGTGGCTCTTTGATCAGGACTGTGTATTACCATTATAAAACAGTTTTGAAATCTTTTGTAACTTTAATGTAGTTACAATAAGTAAATGGAAACAGTGAATTAAATTGAATATTATTTGTACAAAATTGTCAGTAAAATTGTAGAAATAATGGTCTTGTAGTATTTTACTCTATTCTCAAGTACTTCTCAGATGTTAGTTGCAGAGGTACATGAACTTTCAGCTTCTTCTCAGTATCTGGCACGTGGGCACAAAATTCTGCACTATATGCATCTTTTGAATTCATGGAACAGTTTATCTTACGTTAAGTAACTAGCCTTCATCTTGATTGTTTATTTTGAAAGTAATGTGTTTATTTTCTTTTCTCCATTTAGCCTAATGATATAGACAAAGGTAAGTTCTTAAGTTAACCTTGATTTAAAAACTGGCTGCAAGCAGGAAAAATACGATTGCTAAACAAAGTATCTCTGCAATTGCAGATTTAAGAAGAAACAAGTTTTATCCCAGTCATTCAATATCACTAGAGATTTATCTCCACTGAATATTTAGAAAATCTAATACAGTATGACTGGGATTCTTTTTTTAGCTTGATGGCTAGCCATGCAAGAAAGATCTTTAAAAACATATATTTTAGTTTGCTTGTATGATTATTTCCATATTTGTGGTGAATTTAAAGGCTGATTTACATATCACAATAAGCTAACACTGACTTTTTTATATCCCTTAAATTTTGGATTTACTGATTCCAATCTCTATACAGTAATGGCACGCAATCAAGAGGATCTTCTATGTCTCCTTATCTCCTCTTAGTTTTCAATAAGATTCAGCTGGAACAGTATTATTTCTATCAAACTGGTCAATAATTTCTTTCTTCTTTCTCCTTTTTTTCAGGACCTGGCTCAGCCAAAGAGTTGATTAAATCAATCAATGAAAAGTTTGCTGGTGCTACTGGCTGGGAAGGGACAGAACCATATCCTTTACATCTGTATACTGAAGGAGGGATTCTAGGTTTAGCAGCTGCTGTAGGGTTTTTGGTAAAACAGATGTCTTTTATATAAATTTCAACCTTTATTTAAAAAATATTTTGCTTTTGTATCTTGAGAAAGCTCCAAAAGAACACCATACATGTAGTCCAAGACTTAAGATGACATTTGAAACCAGAATCTTGATGGTCCATTGAAATAGTTGTTAAGAGAGATCTTGCATGACTGCTTTGCTCAATGACTGCAATCCTGGCACTCTGGGTTGCAGTCATTAAGCAATCTTGCAAGTTGTTAAATGGAGGAGTCCCAGGTAAGGAATGCAAGGTTGCCTCAGGAGTGGGGGAGGCCCTAGGAGCCCAGTGTAGGCCATGTGTGAGTTTGGCTAGGTGCTGCAGTGCAGTACAAAACCACAACCACTTCAGGAAGCCTCAGCCAGCCCAGCCCAACCTTACAATGCGGCATTCAGTGTCATTGCCAGGGTTGGTCCTGGAGTAGAGGTCTGGGGTCTTCACAATCTTGGCCAGCTGCTGCTGCTCCCAAATTTCAACTTCAGCCCTCATGCTGCCACTGCTGTTGAGAAATACTGTCTCAAGCTCCACACTGTGGCCAGCCACCCTGCATTCTACTCCGCTTCAGTTGTGTTTCCCATGCTGCTGATTGCCAGGATGCCAGCATAGAAAAGATAGGAGCCATTCTCTTAATACTTCAGACGTTTCCCTGATTTTTCTTTTTTTCTTTTTTTTTTTTCCATTTCCCACATATGGGGCTGATTGGTGCTGGTGTGGCTGGCTGCAGTATGGGGCTTGAGATAGCAATTCTCTATGGTAGAGGCAGCATTGAGATTGAAATTGAGGCCTAACAGTAGGACAGCTGGCTAAAACTGTTGAAGGCCCTGACCTTTATGTAGGATTGTACCTCAGGGATTGGGGGGGGGGGAATTGCAGTGCCCATGTGGTTGTAAGTGCAGGTGGGCTGGGCTGCCAAGCATCCAAATTTTGATCACAAGACTGCAGGGGTGCTGCAGTGGTCATAACTTTGGGCACAGTTGCAAGTCCATTTGGCACTGTCATAATTTTGAATGATCATCATATGAACGGTTGTAAGTCAAGGACTGCCATTAATATATGGTCTATGGCAGTGGTCCCCAACCTTTTTATCGCCGCGGCCCGCTGAGCGCGCGCAGGGGTGGGGACACGGCCCAGGAGCCTTTGCGCAGGCCCATTGCGCACGGCCCAGGAGCCTTTGCGCAGGCCCATTGCGCACGGCCCAGGAGCCTTTGCGCAGGCCCATTGCGCACAGCCCAGGAGCCTTTGCGCAGGCCCATTGCGCACGGCCCAGGAGCCTTTGCGCTGCAGCGTTCCTGTCCCCCGGCCGCTGCGTGGCCCGGTGCCAGGTACTCCACGGCCCGGCACCGGTCCGCGGACCGGGGGTTGGGGACCACTGGTCTATGGAAATATACCATATTTTCCGGCGTATAAGACGACTTTTTAACACATGAAAATCTTCTCAAAAGTCGGGGGTCGTCTTATATGCCGGGTGTCGTTCTCCTGTAACCAGGCAGACCAGCCCGAAAGGCTCTGACGAGCCTTAAATGGCTCTGGCGATCCCAGCTCTGACGATCCCAGCTTTGCCTGCTAATCAGGCAATTCAGCTGGGATCGCCAGAGCCATGGAGAAGAGAAAAACTTTTCCCCCTCCAGCTTGCTTACCTTAGCTCAGTGGTTGGGGGTCAAACAACCCTTTCACAGGGGTTTTGATGGTGGTGCAATACAGAAAAACGAGCGCAGCCCTCGCCATCCGGAATGAATGGTGCTGTTGTGGCGGTGGGGGAGGGGGCGGCAGAAGCGGGAAGAAGCGGCGTTTGCGATGGCTGGAAGCTGTGGGAGTGAAGCACTACTTTCATTTGTACGGCAGCAGCATTCCGCCTTGGTATATTTGTGTCAGGAGTGGCGCAAGGCAGCCTTTGTTTCCTGCTGCCTGGGACTCAGAGTGGTAAATGGCGTCTGATCCGGAGAGCTGCTGGATTTTGCTCTCTAATCCGGATGCCAAATCGGCCCCCTGCAAACTCTCGTCTCTCGAGGAGCGCTCCCTGAAGCGGGGCTGGAAACTTCGGTTGGGCTGCTTGAGAGAGGAGAGCTTGCAGGGGGGCGATCTGGTGTCTGCAATGGAGAGCAAAATCTGGCTTCTTCTCTCCGCTGTAAGAGCGGCATCAGGATTCCGCCTTGGTATATTTGCGGCACAAGGCAGCCCTCATCTCCTGATGCTTGGGACTCGGAGCGGTAAATGGTGACTGGTCCGGGGAGCAATCGGATTTTGCTCTCCATTGCGGATGCCAGATCAGCCCCCTGCAAGCTCTTGTCTCTCGAGGAGCCCAACCAAAGTTTCCAGTGCCACTTCAGGGAGCGCTCCTCGAAAGATGAGATCTTGCAGGGGGCTGATCTGGCGTCTGCAATGGAGAGCAAAATCCAGTCACCATTTACCGCTCCGAGTCCCAAGCATCAGGAGATGAGGGCTGCCTTGTGCCGCAAATATACCAAGGCGGAATCCTGATGCCGCTCTTACAGCCGAGAGATGAGGGCTGCCTTGGCCATCGGCTGGCGCAAATATACCAAGGCGAATGCTCATGCCGCACAAGTTCAAGTAGTGCTTCGCTCCAACAATTCTTCCGGCCCTCAGTCTCTCAGGGAGATGCTTGACTTCCTCTCAGCCCCAAGACACTGGCTGGCCCATGAGACGAGAGAGAGAGAGAGAATGAGAGAGAAAGAGAGAGAATCAGAATGAGACAGAGAGAGAAAGAGACAAAGAATGAAAGAGAGAATGAGAGAGAGAGAATCAGAATGAGACAGAGAGAGAAAGAGACAAAGAATGAAAGAGAGAGAAAGACAGAATGAAAGAGAATGAGAGAAAGAGACAGAGAGAATCAGAGAGAGAGAGTGAGAGAGAGAGAAAGAGACAGAGAATCAAAGAGAACCAAAGAATCAGAGAGAGAATGAGAGAGAGAGGGACAAAATGAAAGAGAATCAGAATGAGAGGGAGAGAGTGGGGAGAGAGAGAGAAAGAGGGGGAGAGAGAAAGAGTGGAGAGAGAGAAAGAGAAAGAGGGGGAGAGAGAAAGAGAGAAAGAGTGGGGGGGAGAAAGGGGGACAGAGAGAAGAGAGAATGAGAGAGAGTGGGGGGAGAGAGAAAGGGAGAGAGAAAGAGAAAGAGAGTGGGAGAAAGAGAGAGAGAAAGAGGGGAGAAAGAGAATGAGAGAGAAAGAGTGGGAGAGAGAGAGAAAGAGAATGAGAAAGGGGGAGAAAGAATGAGAGGGGGGAGAGAAAGAGTGGGGGAAAGAAAGAATGAGAAAGAGATGGGAGAGAGAAAGAATGAGAGAGCGGGGGAGAGAGAAAGAGAGAATGAGAAAGAGTGGGAGAGAAAGAAAGAGAGGGAGAGAGAGAGAGAAAGCAAAAATGAGAGAGAGAGAAAGAGAGAATGAGAGAGAGAAAGAGTGGGAGACAGAGAGAGAGAGACAGAGAGGAGGGAGAGTGCCTGAAGGACCCCATCCCGTACTGGGAGTCCAGGTGCTTCAGCAAGCGGCGCACTGGATTCGTATTAGTGGTCCGCGAAATTTAAAATTATGAAGTTGGTGGTCCCTGAGGTCCAAAAGGTTGGGGACCCCTGGCCTAAGACCATCGGAAAACACATATTTTTGATGGTTTTAGGAATAACTTTATCGTTGGGGGTCACCACAACCTGAGGAACTGTATTAAAGGGTCGCGGCATTAGGAAGGTTGAGAACCACTGCCTTAGCTGCTTGCCTTGTTTCGCTTGCCTGAATCCATTCCATCAACAAGCAATTCCCTGCCTGCAATCAAGCAGGAAGGGAGTTGTGGACTTCAACTCCCAGAATTCCTCAGCCAGCAAAACAAAGCTGGCTGAGGAATTCTGGGAGCTGAAGTCTACAAGTCTTAAAGTTGCCAAGGTTGGAGACCCCTGTTCTATTGGGTAAGTTTTTTTCCCCTTTGGGATCTTTAAAAAAAAAATAGTTAATTGGGGGTTTTTTTAGTTGTTCTTTTTTAGACCTAGCCATTTAAAGTTTAGGAAGTTTTAAATTTAGCTTTCATATAAAAATAAAAATAAAATAAAATAATATTTGTGCAGCTTTCTGAGATTTAGTGTGTTTCTGTAGTGTTTCACTCTAACTACACAAACACACAAAATCTCACAAAGCTGTATGTGGAATTTTGTGTGTATAAAGTGTGAAAGTTGGGTTTTTGGGCTTTCTGTGGCTGTGTGAGGTTCCTGCTTGTTTCAGGGGCCATTTTGGGTCTAGCACAGCTGCTTTTACATTGTGGGTGAGCCAGTTGATGTTTTTTTAAGTGTGCGTTGGAAGAGGGGTAGTTTTATACGACGAGTATAGCCCAAACCCTATATTTTAACAGGAAAATTCGGGGGTCGTCTTATATGCCCAGTCGTCTTATACGCCAGAAAATACGGTAACTTAGCTCTGATCCTAAACTTGAATAACACTTAGAATGGTCTTTGGAGGGGACTCTATACCATTTCAGAGAAATGGCTGTCCAGTCTTTTCTTAAAAACCTCCAGTGATCAAAACCCAGAACTTCTGGAGACAAGCAGTTCCACTGGTTAATTGTTCTCACGGTCAGTAAGTTTCTCTTTAGTTTTAGGTTGAGTTTCCATCCATTGCTTCTTGTTTTGCCTTCTGCTTCTTTGGAAAATACATTTTTTTTAAAATTTGATTTATATGCCGCCCTTCTCCGGAGACTCAGGGCGGCTTACAGTGCGTTAAGCAATAGCCTTCATACTTTTGTATATTTATACAAAGTCAGCTTATTGCCCCCACAAACTGGGTCCTCATTTAACCTACCTTAGAAAGGATGGAAGGCTGAGTCAACCTTGAGCCTTGGAGAGATTCGAACCAGCAGTAAATTGCAGGCAGCTGTGTTAATAACAGGGTGCTTTAAACCACTGTAGTACCAAGGCTCTTGGTACATTGCCCCTCCCCCCTTCTTTGGCAGTCCCTTAAAAGCCTGTTGCCTATCACACTCTTGGGCAAAGCACGTGAGCCATTTCCTTCTTTCAAAGGTCCATG